CTTCTTCTTTCTCTTCTCCCCTCCCTACCCCTGTCCTTAATCGTCCCTCTATCTTTCTCCTTCTCCGGCGAACGGTTAGCAAATCCTTGAAACTTGGCGATAGGACGTTTGCGTTTGCAACATTAGAGGGGTCTGTTACTCAGATTAAACTCTTCCTCCATCGCATTGCAAACAAGAGGAAACTTGGAGAAAGTGACCGGCGTAGTTATGGTTAATCCTATTGAATGAATGCTAATAAATTATGGACAGCAATTTTAAGAAATATTTACCTAAATTCGGTTTCTGACAGACTTTTTGACCGAAATATCTATTACTTTGTTGACTGCCTGTCAGCTGGAGGCCTCGTGCCTCCCTCCGTTTTAAGATGTGAAGAGACACAGCAACCTCGTAATTTCAGCAGCACTGATTGCACTTGATGAATGGTCTGTTGGTACTGTTATCACAGTTACTGGTCCGAAAAACTTCAGAAAATGTATGGCACATATTAGATACTGTTGGGTTAATAGGTATACCGTTATTCGTTATGTATGCAGCTAATTGTGCGCCTATATACTAGGATTATCTGCGATAGTTCTTTCTGCTAAACGCATAATTTTAATGTGGGCAAGGTTCTGCATGTGTGTTCTGCATGAGTGCTGTGGCGTAGGGCAGAGTTCACCAGAGATGTCACCAGTCGACCATTTACTTTTTGCAAGGAAGACGTCAACAGACCTCATGACGGGGAGACCGTCCTCATCCCCCGCAGAAAACAGTCATGGTAATGCAATAGACGCCCAGTGGAAAATCTCGGGATGCAGACTCAACTCCAACTCAATTTTGCTATTCCAAGGGAAGTGGCCAGAAGGACAAATCCGCAAAACTGCAAACACATGACCGTAGTTCATCCACACAAGCGCAGAGGAAGCCAGTAAGTCTGTGACAATCCTCGAAGGATCTCCCGACTCAATATTGCTGACAAAGTCTCCGCCCGATTACTACTCAGTCGTCTAAATCTACACCTGGATCATTGCAGATTCTCAGAAAATCAGACACCATTAAAATGCACTTCACGGCTGGACAAGTGAAGGCAGGTGTCAAAAAACTGGTGTCGACCTTTACATCACCTTTGTGTTTCCCAAAAAACCTCCGACACTGGGAACAGAAACGATTTCCGGAAAATAATGAGAAAATTTTGATGCCACAAGCGGCTCACAATAACAGTTAGGCAAATTCATGACGATACAGGCGAACATGCGAGTTCCAGGAACTAGTTGACAAGAAGTAGAAGCGATCGCTAGAACAAGGGCGAATAAAGCCCTTGCACAGGATCGACGGGTGTGGCAAACATTCCTGATAACTAGAACTGGCATCTTCGAAACCAACCGGACAGAGATAGGGAAGAAACAATAAGCTCACAAAAATGGAATTTCTTGGGCCAACGCCCAAAGCCGGTCACCATGTCCTCACTTTCAACGCGCATTCAAGACGCGGATTGACCCTGCTGAACATCTTTGGATTCATCGCAATGTCAGCGATGCCAGCCAACATCCTGCACGGTCAAACACGCCCACCACCAACGTATTCCATTCCATTCCGCCAGAGTGAAAGTGTGGAATGCCTATTCTCTCTTGCCTAAACCAAATAATAATTATGAATATTATAAAGTGGACACTTCTTCCTGGAACACGGTCAACGTTAGCCAGATCACTCGCAACTGCCAACATTATGAGCAAGCCCATCTCAAAATGAACAGTATTATCTTTCCGACAATCCCTCTGCGGTACCTCGGCACCTCCTAGTCTAACTTCATTTTCCACTAGGAACGGATTTGTCAGCAACGACCGTGAAATTGCCTCTTCACCCCATCTGTCACACTAGTTAGAAAAGTAGAAAGTAAATCATCATTAATTACAACCAGCGAACTGCCGCAGGATAGGTCCCTTACATGGACACCACTGTCGAGTCAGACTCAAAACGGAGGAAAATGATGCTATCTGCGCAAGTCTCCGTTCTCCGGTAGACATTTTGTGCGAGTCACCATGACCCGCCCCCGGCGGGGAGAGAGTGATTGTCAGCGGTCTAAACGTACAGCATTTGGTTCGCACCAGTATGACAGCGTGGGAGCCGCCACAAACAGGAAATGAAAATGGCTGCGAACTATTAGTCGTCCCTATGGTCAAGAAAGTAAAAAATGATGAGATCAATTACACAGGGCAAATCGGTAAGACTCTGCGGTATTTGTGTCACTTTCCCAAAACAAATGCCCATTTGACCCTTCCACTTTGAAGTACTGCAATAGCTGTATGGGACAAATCTCATCGTGTTTGCTGTAACGTACCTCAGTCACATCCAACCCGGCTTCCCATCCAAGCCGTTGCTGGAGACACATGAAGTCGCCATAGTATCCCGGCTGTCGAATTTATCGGACAACCATGTGACGCATTCCTGGTTCAAACAGTGCCCGAAGTAAAGGCCGGTGTTGAAATATTGTTAAAGCCGACTCCCCCTCAGTCTACGATGACTTTATTTTGAGAATTGTCTGGTTGATAGGAAAGTGGCTTTGAAAAAATGTATGTTCAAGATAACAGACGAGCCAACGATGATGTAGTTTGAGTTCATAGGTTCGCGCACTCCCTAATGTTTGGGCTATCAAAAACGTATCAGATATGTCCCTTCCAGTTGCCAATTCAAAGACGACTTCTCCCCAGCCCAAAACCCGAATAGGGACCATCTGGGGAAATCAGACCAATTCGTCACCATATCGCTGTGTATACAGAAAAAGACACCATTTCGATGAGAGGTTACAGACTCTAAACCTACAAATCAAACACATTACTTCACTGACACATTATTTTGCCGGCATTTCGGCAACCGCAAACATGTGTTAGCTAACCTGAATTTTCAAGTGTAACATGGGAATATTCGTACAACCTTATTTCATACTTGCCACTTAACAAACCTATCAACGCAATGCGTGAGCACACATCGAACTAGTATCGTCAAATTCGCATTCATCAGACAGTTATACAGGCAGGTTGGCGATTTAGCTATGGGCAGTCCGTTTGGACTAGATATACCAGGGCTCGATCGGAAATTGTTGAAATACCTAAAGTAAACCCCATTTTTACAGAAGACATATGGACATTTTTCTTCCCTAGAAGCTAGCCCGAGACATATAGCTTCGTCGGTCACTGTCGAAAACAGTTGACGGCCGATGATCAGGTTCATGACCGGATTTGAAGAAAACGGCAAGCTAGCCTCCCTTGATGTTCTCAAACATGGGCGTGCAGATGGATCCATTCAGAGGGCAGCCTACCGGAAAACTAGCTAAAAATGACTATGCATGCACTTAACGAGTTCCGTTAAATTCAAAGAAGGCGGTAGTTTGCTTAATGCCGCTTTAACCGCGGAATGCAAATATTCCTGCCGAGACGATGGAGGAGGAGACCAATTTTTACCAGGACACTCCTATTCAGAGTAACGTGAGAATGACACCCACCCCTGAGGCCTAATTGCAGGATGACCCATCTAGAGCTCCGTGTCTCTCCTAATGGCCTAAAGTATTTCAGTGGTTTCATTTCGATACATTATATTGATCACCGGGTCTGCCGCAGAGACTCGGATGAAAGCGCTCTTGAGTAATTTCTAAGGCTCTGCTGGCCTGTTCATGTGTACCTCATAGCCGCAACCGCTTCTGTGTTCCTCTAGCGGGCTTGCGCGTATGCCTGATAAAACAAGAGGAGGAATCATTCGTCGGGCCAGTTGGACCAGCACAAGGATGGTTACTAGGTGACATCTCTGGTTGCAATTATGCCGGGGTCCTGATGCGGAGACGTGGTTTAGCGGGTCACGAGGCCGGATGGGAAGTGGGACCGACGTCACACGCAAGACAGGACCTCAAGTGAGTCTCCTGGCCCTTAACGCCCCGCATAACGCAGGGCCGTCCACGTAACCCTAGTTACCAGCTCTAAGGCTATTCCAATGGTCGCTGGTGGACGTAGGCCCATGGGGTAGACAGCACTAGAGTTACAACTAAGATTTGATTGGCTCGCGCTGAATGAATGTCATCAGAGGAGTATGGGGACTGACGAGTGAGTCATCACCCAGTGCGATCGTTGCGTCCAACCCCGGGAAAGCAGGGCTTTTACAAGAGGCGGTGGAAACTAAAGCCAACCATCCCCACCCTCCTACCCCCCCCCTGGGTCGCAGCGCAGACATATGTTGTGTGGCATACACGAAAGGACACTTCCACAACCCACCGCCCCTTAGCATTTTAAAAGCGAGGTCTCGCTTGTCCTCCTGGTAGGTGCGAGAGGGGTATTGCGTGGGTTACAGGTCAATCAGCCCGCCTTTCCTAAGGAGGTAACCAAGGCATAAAATCTCTCAGCTGCCAGAAGCTGTTTAGAGGGCTAACAACAACGTAAACAGGACTATAAGCTTGAACAGCAACATGAATAACAGCAACGACAGCGACTACTACTACTACTACTACTACTACTACTACTACTACTACTGCTGCTGCTGCTGCTGCTGCTGCTGCTGCTGCTGCTGCTGCTGCTGCTGCTGCTGCTGCTGCTGCTGCTGCTGCTGCTGCTGCTGCTGCTGCTGCTGCTGCTGCCGCCGCCGCCGCCGCCGCCGCCGCCGCCGCCGCCGCTGCTAATGTTGCTGTCTTAGGCCGCCTGCCTTCTCCCACACATAGCAGGCGACAAACCCACACCCTGCTTAAAAAAACTCCGACAAGTCGTTAGAAGCCATGGACGGACGTCCTTTATTGAGTCGATTCATCGTTTCTTGCCTGTGATTTCTGGCGGGCTAAAGCTACCCCACTTTAAACTTCTCCACTTGTGCAAACTCCGCGTGACTCATCTGCCTATTAAAATAAAAATCTTGCTGATAGTATGTTCCACCTGCCGTCGCCAATAGCACTCACTTTATAAGAAAATACAGTTTCACCACGAGTCCGCAGTCGCATAAGCAATTTTTACTGCGGTGTGTCGTGTATCTGGCTAAATTTATCGGTGGCTAGTATCCCTTTGCTGGTAAAAACCCTGTATGCCGCCACAGATATGGCTTCATTTTTGGCTAACCAGAAGATGGCTGACACCAGAAAACCGGGTCAACCTGATGCAGTTCCTGTGGTATTGTGTTATTTAGACTTGTCGAAGGCCCTTTCTCATGACCAGAACTGGGGCAAACTGATTAGATACAGGTAGGTCAGACTGCCGCTCAGGTCATGCCGACGGTTATAAGGCTTATGGACTGGGAGTTGTGTTTCAGAGGCCGATTTACTAAAGATTCCGACGCTTGTTAAGTAAGCAGATAGCCACGTCAAATCTGCCGCCTGACTCTTTCAGCGACACTCATTAATTGTGTGAAGTAATTCGTATTTCTTGCGGCCTTTACTCGCAGGGTCTTTGAGATGGCAGTTATGGCTGTTATTTTGCTGATTTGCCGTAGAATACTAGCAGGCACGACGGACTATCCCACGTTGTCTGACCTCGGGACTCATACACGCATGACCTGGTTTGAATAACCACTTATATGTTTGCCATAACAAGTAGGAAAGGGCTCCTACTTTACCAACTGATTACGCATGCATACGGCGATTGAGGATGATTTAAGAGTAACTTGGGCCAGCTCTCATCTGGACAAGAGAGTCAACATCAAAGCACTTGACCGATAGTTACTGTGGGAAGCACCAAAACATTTCAGGTAAAGACCCTTGTACTCCTTACTTCACCAATGGCTTGAGTGATGGATCAGCAAAACCGATCAGCTTGTCTATTGTTGGTGGTTTGTCCGGTCGGACAGAGAATATGGATTCCCCACATTACGGGTAGTCCTGCACTCAATTCAAGGGTGCTTATTTTATTGTCCTAACTTTAATCCTAACTCTATCACTAATCCGGACGCTAGTACTCCTAACCATAACCCTCCCAACCCTAATCCTAACCCTTAAAGTTTAACGCAGGGTCACCTATGATGCGGGGTGTTCATATTTTCGTGTCTTACTGTTCTGTACTAGTTAGCGCTCTTTTCTGTCCCGGTAAAAAAGCCTTTACGGTCGTAGTTAGCGGAGGGTATGAATCAATCGATGGGACACTCGTCTAGGCTTTCAATCAGCACTGGCGTTCTGTGTTAAAACCATTTTCCGCACTCAAGGCATCGTCTATCCAACCATTCACAGACAGCGTAGACTCCCTCGGCATAGAGGTCCATTTTTATGCGTCCTATGACCTACACGATGATCATCAAGAGCATAGTGAAATTGTAGCTAACTACTTAATTCCACGTGAATGCGAGTCTAAAATTTAAAAAATAGCCTACGACGAAGTTTGTCCTGGGTATTCATGCAGAATCTTTTCGAATTTTATCGACTTATGCTCACGATTTTTGACTCGATAGAACTTCCGACATACAATACTTACAAACAATAAAAGCAATTTCCCAGGCGAGGCAGTGCCTTTTTTCGGATCAAGAGGCCGAAACCGTATTTTCTAAGCGGGGTGGGCGGTTAATCTGCCGTCAGGCAATAGTGTTATCATCAGGGACGTCGGATAAGTGACTTCGACGCTGGGACAATACCATTATTCTCCCGAAGTTCCGATTTAAACACAAGCTCACCATCCCGACTTTCGATGCAAAAATACTTTGTCATGACGCATAGCGATCGAGTTCAAGTGCGAATACAAATATTCGCCGTGCTTCTGATCAGTTAGATTGTGGCATCGAGTGCTCCAGGGCTTCATTATCGAAAAACACCCCCAGCGCTTGTCACAGATGGGCAACGGAGTGTTTAACACGCGTCTGCGCGTACGCCTTTGTGACTGTAGACTGATCGGGTGGCAAACACGATGACCGAACCCGGATTTCCATATTAGGCCTCCAGGCCTACATATGCGGTCACCTGGGTGTTCGTCTGTGCACATGGTTGTGCGTGTGTGTTTTGCAAACGCTGCAAAATCGACTTTGTGAACGTGTTGCTTGCTTATTAATGCGAGTTGTCAGGTCCGCCATCAATATCATCAGAAGTGTACTGACGGGGTATTTACTACCCTATTCTATTTGGTGGCTCGGCCATTACAGGTAATTCCGAGTTAGGTATGTAACAGGAGGGTTTCATATCAGAGCCGGGACCTTTGGCTAAAAACGGCAGATTTTAGGTTTCATTTTCGTCAAAACGTAAGATCTAAACTTGGAGTGAACTTTTAAGAACAGTAAGCTGCTACCTACGTTGGGACTTTTTTAACTGTAGAAGCCATTGTATACATAAATGGTACTACGCCATTAATTCATGTAACAGATGACCCTGGGGAATTCTAGGGAGAAGGGCAATAAAACCGAGAAATCTTGGATATTGATGAAGTAAACACAGAAAACGTCCGTATTGTGAGCTCTCCCTTTTATTTTGTGGCGAACGGAATCAAAGTTTTACCGAATATTTTTGGTACTTAGAACATGATTAATAGCTACATTAATATCCTCACTTTCCTAAAATGCAAAAGGTGATCATTAACCGTTTGTTGGATTTGAGGAATTTTGGTACGCCTCTGAGACGAAATCTAGTCAAGCCGACTGCTGGAACACAGGGTTTTCGGCACTTTAGGGTACGGTGATACCATACTAACAGCACAGGTACTAGCCAAAAGCCCATACACGCGTGTTTCGCCGATGTTTTGCCGCTGAATGGCACAGCTGCGAAGGGTTCGGCTCGTCAGTGGGTCCCCCAGCATTCCCCGTGTGTTTCCTGGTAGATACTCCAATTTAGAAATTGTCGCTTTTTAATTTCCTGAGAAATTATCTACGAAGTTGGAGTAGTTCAGTTTATTCAAGGCACTTATTACTTGCTGCTTTTTACTTTCCTCAGAATACCGGCGAAACGCGCGTGTATGAGCTTTTGGCTAGTACTTGTGCTGTTAATATGGTATCACCTTAGCCTAAAGCACTTACTACTGCTTTCACTTCTCTGCTTTCACTATTGCATGTACTTATAAATATAGGCACGGTGATAACTTCCCGCTTTAGGGCGGAATTCTATATAATCTCTGTGTCTCGGGCGATCTTACTAACTAGTCTTCCACGCTCTTTATCAAGGTAACACTAAAACTATAAACGTCTTGATGACAAAAGCACTGCCCCATAGCTAATCGCACAAACTAGGTGTTCACTGCCGCACACAAACGGCACGTGACTCCGTAATCTCAGCGGGTGATTACGGACATGCGACAGCCACGCGTCTACCAGTAAGCGACTAGGTCGGCAAGCGCGAGCTCCACACACCCTTGAGAAAAGCCAAAATCTGATTGGTTGGTAGCTCAGCCTCGTTTAGCGCCAGGCGCTTACAACAGTGGTTGCTTCAGTCACGCGGTGAGGTATTGATCGACAGTCGGTCGCGCCAATCAAGACGCTGGAAATGTGCTATAAAAAAGCGCGTGCTGCGCGGTCGCTGTTTTCGTCGTCTCCCGCTCGGCCCGTGCTTCTCTTTCCTCCCATGTCTGACATCTCGGTCGTCAACGATGGGTTACTTCTACTGCTTCAGGCCGCAGAAAAACTAGATAGAGGTGAGCAAACTAAAATTTCTGAATCATTGCATGTCATATACCTCGGAAAATCTCGCATCTTACGCGCGTGTTAATATTTCAGACGCTCTTAAAAGTTACAACCATCCTGATAAATGGGAAGCTCGCAGTGCGTCCTCACGAACATCCTACGAGGAGGGGGCATCCACTTCTCCTATGTATTCATGCAGTGCGCATAGACGGGGTGCCTCCTCCACCAGGTATTATTGAGTTTAAGTAACGCTAACCTAGTTCGTTTACCATAGGTGCACTCATAACGAGCTTGAAAAAAGCAGGTATGATTTCAGTTGGATCTGCTTACTGAATTTATAAAGGCGGGCGCACCTACGAACTTGCATGGAGGCTCTGAAAGCACGTCTTGTTTTTGACAGCGACGTACCTCGGATAACCATGCTTACGATACTCCGGAAAGCAGCCGCAACCATACACGTGAGTTCTTTGCGAAATGTTAATAGCGACATGATTTTCATTGTGCCCTAAAACAAGATTTCAGGTCTTGGTATGCTACTTTCTGCTCGACTACGGCGATTTTATTTGTCCTCTGAGGTCACTGCTTTCCATCATGCAGATTCTGCGACAGAAGAACGAGTACTTAGAGGCTTGTGAAGTTGGAGAAAAACAAAGATGTGCCCAGCTTCTTAAACGTCGTCAAGCTCTTCGTAAAAAATTGGATTCAAAACGCAACCGACACCTTAAGATCCAGAGTTGGCGGGAACGCAATCGAAACTATTCCGAGTGCTCTGCTCTGACCACATCCTCAGGTAGGGTCAAATTCATTTCTGTCCTCTCCATGCACGAACATTATCGCAACGTGTTAAAAATGTCTATTTTGCTGTTATAGAGGATTCTGAACTAGATTTGGTCTCGAGACAGCAATCTGCCAACGCCTATAATGTCCTCTCCAATTGTGCTACACTGCCGTCGGCTCAAATATGCACAGCGGACCAGTTTTCTCACTTTGGAAGTACAGCCTACTCTGTGCAACCGTTCAGAAAGGTGCCACAATCACCAGGTGCTCTTCTGAGTCCACCGTGCGGAGCTGATGCTTACGACGCCAGCAGCTCGGATTCTGGATTCGAAGAGGTCACAGTTACGTGCAGCGATGAGACGACTACGGCCCGGCCAACGACCGAAGAGGTTGGGACTCCAACTTGTGGAGGAGTCTACACTTTGCAAGGCTACAACGCCTACTGATTCGCGTCCCGGGTGCCGACCGTTTGTTCGTTTCCTGTGCTCGCCTCCTCCTGTACACCGTTTAGCCGACTTGCCCCGCCATCCACGATCCAGATGACCTGAGCACTTATCGGCAGCTATTATTTGAGCTTTTCCTCAGGCCATATGGTGCTCACTGTTATTCCATTGATCTCATCCACCAGACATTTTAGCCATTCGCCGTTTCCAGACGCAAAGATGTGTTGTGTTTTGTAACCCCTGTCAAATCCATCAGCCAGGCGCGCTCCCACTGACAGAGTTTGACTGTAAGTTATTTTATTATGAGATTTAAGTCCTCGTAGGCCACCTTCAATGCATTTTGGGACCTTTAGTGACATTTGCAGCATATCTTCCAAGTTGACTTGCCCACCCGTTTCTCTCTCCATGCTTTGCGGCAGTGTGGCCTTTCTGTTCTTCCAGCACATTTCCCCTTTGGAGGTTTCCTTCTTACCCCTTCTTTTAACTCTTCCCCATACTGGAAGCCGTTGGAGCGTAGTCACGAACCCGGGTCCCTGGCATGCCGTGATTTTGCGCCGTTCGACGAATCGCTCACCTCACCATCCATTCTTCACCTCACTCCCCTTCGTATTTCATCGGGTTCATGGTCAGTAAGACAATCTGTTCCTGTGATTTCCTGTATCCAGCAAGGAATCTCTACCAGCCGGGCTGCAACGGGCTGTATGCAAACATGTCTCGATTCCGGAGCTCGCCGCCCTTGTGAATATTTAGTCTAGGCTTTCGGTTGTATGCTGAAACGAACAGGAACGCCAAGAGTCTTTCAAGTCGCTTGCAATTTTAATATCCTGGGTGACTTTAAACGTTCCCCTCCTTGCTTGATGTGCTGACCTATTTGCATATTTTCGTGTAAGATTGTACAAGTGTTAGCAGGGTCGTACGTATTTTTCGCAGTAGGCCAGTTTATCTAATATTGTCTAATATTTCTACTTCGTGACCAGTCGGTCCCTTACGTTGTGGCACTGCGCGACTGACGGTTTCTGTCGCCTTTCTCTTCCTCTTGCTATCTCTTTAATTCTCTCCCTCTTTCTGTCCCTCTTTCTCTCAACCCGGCTGTTAACTTTTGACCTAACAACTGGCATTGATTTGAGATCTGTTCTGTCTGCCTACTGGTTTTATTATCTGTGATCGCCTTGATACTTCTTTTTACTAAGCTTACTCCACGTGCCGTGTAAGCTATGTAAAGAACTCCCACCATACTTCATACCTGTCTTGCTTTGGAACAGGTAACACTTAAATTGGCAGCAACCCGTTTTCCTCGTGTCACGCGCTCACTCTTAGGGTTTATCAGCTCATCCGCACTATCACTAGGTCTTCGTATTTTGCCTGCTGCGTCAATTAATGTACTCTTATATCATATCCTTACCGTATTTTCTTAACTTTTGTCTGGGTCATGTACAGCTTTTTCTAGGGGTCTGACACCGTCGCAGTGTGTTAGCTGTAAATTACAACATTGCCCGGGCCATCTTCCAGTCTTTGTCTTGCTGTCGTCTCTTGTTAGCTCGGGTCTCGCTAGGGTCGACCGTCTTGACGCTAGTTGACTGCTTGATAACTAAGTGCCCTCCTTTGGAGTCTGGTTCCCTTCCGCTTACAAAAGGCCCCCTAGCGGCGTTAACTTTTGAAAAGGCTGATTGTTACATTTCAAGTAACTAGTACTGCCCTCCATTAAGTTGGTAATTTTCCGTCCTTGGTGTCCTGGGTAAAACCGGTCTAATGTGTTTTATAGTTGTGTCACCGATTTACGTTCCGAGTCTTACAGCGATAGGGTATCTATAAAGGTTATGGAACCTTTTTGAGCGAAACCTGACTTTTCGGTATTTTTAAAGTCTCCCTTCCTGAGCAACGTACCGTAACCGTAGCCGATGCTGGACTCTTCAAACCTGGTGACGAAATGGGTGTGAGTTGCGGCACTGTTTAAGGGCCGTCGTGTGGGTGCTTGAGATCTGTCATGGTTGTTGAGCCTAACTTGTTTGGTTTAGCGCCTGTTGAGATTTTGCAAAGTTTGTTAGTTCTAAATTATATTTATTCACCTTAATCATACTATTGATCGCCGAAATCCTCCCACGAGGACGTACTAGAGAATCGCGAGTTTCACCCTATCTTCCCTTTCGTGGCGGCCATAAGGGAATCGATTAAGCAGTTTGTCAGCTTTTTGATTGAGTTATGGTAGTTACGCACAACTAGCAGAACCCTGGTAAAGGCACATAAAAATTGCTGCCTTAAACGGGTCGAAGTTAAAACTTATCTGGCCACCCAGGTGTGGCTACTATGCAAGAAATTTTATGACAGGCTAGCCAAACATTGCTTAGGCAACTACTCTGCTGACCTTTTGGTGAGGCTTGGAGTAATAGACGATTCGGACTGTCCAGAAGTTGACTGGGCGCCAGTAAGTATCCATTTTGAATGTTTGGACAGAGTTGACTCGATAAGGCGGCGCCGCATTAGAAGGATGTACCTCAGCATACCTTGTGTCAGTGCAATGATTTTGTCGTCCAACACCGTTAGTGCCTTGAGACTCCTGCTAAACTTGACTAGATCATGTCTTCCGTTATTAAAACTCGTACTTACCCCCTTATCGCCCGGCCCACTGGGTGAGTTATCTCTGCTGCACTTAGGCTAACGGTAGCCTTTCTTCCACTGTGGAATCAACCAAACCCACCGCCATGTAACTCGGCCCAAACTTTCCTTTATGGTTGGAATTAGATGACCTCGTCTGTGTAGAGGGTCTGACGCTACTTCTGCGATTTCATACGCCCTTCTAGGCTCATGCTTTGTATGGTTAGTCGCTAAGCCCGACCGATGATCTGTACTGCATTTGCAACTCCACGCCCACCCACTCTCTACCAGGGGGTGTTCCAAAATATCAACCCCGTACAGGCGTTTTAGAAAAGGCTACGTTTATGTGACTGTTTCCTGTGATTCCCCGTAAATGCTACGAACTGAGTTTTTTTTACTTCCGATAGTGTGATTCCGCGCTTGTACGAGGGAAGGAGAACTTTCCTGGCCACCGGTGCATTTCCTCAGCCGTCGTCCTTTTTACAGAGTGGTTCGAAGGTTTAGATCGAATGAGCTTTTCTCACGATCAGGAGACGACATTCGCATAGAACTTCACTCCATTGTCCTCATACTTCCGAACAAATGAAGCATAGTTGTGCAGGCGGTGGTAGGGCGGCTGCTGGTCTCGCCCTATCATCTCGGGTCTCCGGCACATGACACTGCGCGCGCACGTGTGGCTATCGATCGCGGCTTTTTTACGAAATACAACAGGCAGATTTTTATGTCGGTCGCAGTGAAGGCTTCTTCAGGGCGTGGGGCCTGAATTAACGCACCGGTGCGAAGCCCAATTTCGGTTCAAGCACTACGCTGGAAACGGGTTGCAACGTACTAGAGATGTGCCCGTTTTGGTGTGTGTGCTAGTACGCGGTCACATTACCTATGGACGAGTGCTCAACAGTGAGCGCACGTGCGCAATCTGACATTTATCTGTACCTCGAGTTAGCACCCCTTTCTTTTGTGTGATCGTGCATTTCTTCGTGTGTTCACTGCCCCGTGCTGTAACATGTCTGCTTCTAACGCTTTTTATTCCTACGCGGCATTGACGTGGTTGACCGATTTCTTCACAAGGTGGCAGTTCTGCCGTCGTTACCGACGATGTCCATCGTTTGTCCCACAACATGGCGGGTGCAGGGACTGTAATTTGCGCGTGAGTTAGTTTGTAGTGGTAATAGACTTGTGCTGTATCTACCGCACGCTTTTCCTTCACTCACCTGAGCCCAATATCAAGACAGCCGAGACCGGAGGCGGGGTTGGGCGCATTGCCTGACAAGGCTATATATCAGCCCGTCTGCGGATGCCGCAGACCTGATCCGCACACGATGGGCCGGGATTTCACCAAAGCTCGGGTCCCAACTGAGCGGGAGTGCCATAGAGGCCGCATTGAAGAGGAGTTATTGCAGCCTGACTCCTTCCTGAAAGGAGGACCGAGTTATCCCGTCAGTTGGCAACCTCCGAAGCCACGGCTTCTAGGGCACCGTGATAGTTTAAGACATTCGACTGTCTTTAGTGAGGAATGTGCACTGAGTGTCGTGGGGACGTGGTCCCTGGAGTCGACCTCACTCTCTCTTTCCTCTCCTGGGCATCTGTCCACCCGAGCTGGTCAGCCATCTGATTCGGAGATTGACCGCAGTGTCTAACATGTGAAATCCCTGACGAGCTAACATTTATTTCGAACGGCATGCACTTTTCGCATATATTCCCGTTGTAGGATAACACTTGGACTTGTGGAACACTTTTATTACCATGAGCCATGTGGACTATCTATAATAATTTATCTGCGTATACAGGTCTCAGACTGTCGTACTATAGGACACTGTTTTCGTTCGCGATCAGGAAGCCACTTTTTGCGCTAAATGATCATGGCTAGGATTGCACCTTATTAACTCGAGCAGTTTACAGCGGGTAACTGCAGCTGAGTTCGGTTGAAGTTACCATAGCAAAGCGGAACCCACTTCCGCGTTATGGGTAACTGAATCGTTTTAAACACAAGACCAACGGGTAACGCCCATAGGGAGTGTTTTGCTCAGGCAGGAGGACGGGAGGGAAGGACTTGATGCGCGCTAGCACGGGCGTTTCAAACATGCGCTGAGGCTGAACGCCTGCGCACCTACCTAGGCGCGCCCTCCGACCACTCAGCTGCGAACACGTCAACAGCGCGCGAACAGCCGAACGTTGCTGTCACGCCGTGATCGGTCGATAATCAGACAAGCCACGCCGACCACGTGCGTTGACATTCATTATGGGGATTGATTTTCTGCCTTACGTTCGCCTATGTGGCGGTGCATTTGTAGACGTTTAGACGTGGAGGGGAATGTATTCGTGGTGTCGTGGCGCACGATGATACATGCCTCAGTAAATTCTGGGTGAGCAGTCAACGCGAGAGTCGTTGGTGAGTAGAATAGGCCCCAGGG